TTAATTAATTAATTAATTAGGAAGTGTGATGACTCCAGTTTTGTTTTTTTCTCAAGATTGCTTTGGCTGTTTGGGGTCTTTTGTGGTTCCATACACTTTTTGGATTGTTTCTTCTATTTTATGGAAAATGCCATTGGAAATTTAATAGGGATTGCAATGAATCTGTAGATTGCTTTGAATTGCATGGACATTTTAACAATACTGATTCTTCCAATCCATGATCATAGACTATCTTTCCGTTTATTTTGTGTTTTCTTCAATTTCTTTCATCAATGTATCATATAGTTTTCAGTGTACAGACCTTTCACACTCTTGGTTAAATTTATTTCTTGGTATTTTATTCCTTTTGTGGCTATTTTAAATGGGATTATTTCCTTTTTTAAATTATGTTATGTTAGTCACCATTTCCTTAATTTCTCTTTCTGGTTTTTTAATTAGTTTATAGAAATGCAATTGATTTTTGTATATTGATTTTGTATCTTACAACTTTGCTGGATTTGTTTATTCTAATAGGTTTTTTTTGGTGGAGTCTTTAGGGTTTTCTATATATAATACCATGTCATCTGCAAATTGACAGTTTTACTTCTTTCTTTCTGAGTTGGATGCTTATTAATTCTTTTTCTTGACTAATCACTCTGGCTAGGACTGCCAGTACTATGTTGAATAAAATTGGCAGGAGTGGGCAACCTTGTCTTGTTCCAATCTTAGAGAAAAAGCTTTCAGCTTTTCACCATTGAGTATAATGTTAGCTGTGGGCTTGTCATATAGGATATGTACTATGTTGAGGTATGTACCCTCTATATATTTTTTATTGAGAGGTTTTATCACAAATCGTTGAATTTTGTCAACTGCTTTTCCTGCATCTATTGAGATGATCATATGATTTTTATTCTTACTTTTATTAGTGTGGTGTATTACATTGATTGATTTGCAAATGTTGAACCATCCTTTCATTCCTGGAATAAATCCGACTTGATTATGGTGTATAATTCTTTTTCTGTACTGTTAAATTCAGTTCGCTAATATTTTGTTGGGGATTTTTGCATATGTATTTATGCAAATTCTATCCTAAACCACACTGTAGCATGGTTTTGGTCTGGTTTTGGTATCAGGGTAATGCTGGCGCTGGAAGTTTTTCCTCCTCTTCTGTTTTTTGGAAGAGTTTGGAAAACATTGGTAAGAATTCTTTAAATGTCTGGTAGAATTCATCAGTGAAAACCATCTGATCCTGGACTTTTGTTTGTTAGGAGGTTTTTTTATTACTGATTCAATCTTCTTTTTAGTAATTGGTCTGTTCAGATTTTCTATTTATTCATGATTCAGTCTTGGTAGGTTATGTTTCTAGGAATTTATCCATTTCTCATAGTTTGTCCAGTTTATTGGTGTATAATTGTTCTTTGTAGTCTCTTGTGATCCTTTGTATTTGGGTGATATCAGTTGTAATGTCTCTTCTTTCATTACCAGTTTTATTTATTTGAGTCTTCTTTCCTTTTTTCCTTGGTTAGTCTAGCTAATGATTTGTCTATTTTAAAAATCTTTTCCAAAAACCAGCTTTTATTTTCATTGATCTCTTCTATTGTCATTTTAGTCTCTATGCTATTCATTTCCACTCTGATCTTTGCTGTTTTCTTCTTTCTACTAACTTTGGGCTTAATTCCTTAGTTCCTTGAGGTATGAATTAGGTTGTTATTTAAGATCTTTATTTTTTCTACATGTAGGCATTTATCACTATAAACATCCCACTTAGAACTACTTTTGCTATGTCCCATAAGTTTTGGTATTTGTATTTCCATTTCCATTTGTCTCAAGATACTTTTTGATTGCTCCTTTGACCTATTGGTTGTTCAGGAGCATGTTGTTTAATCTTCATGTGTTTGTGAATTTTCCACTTCTCGTAATTTCTAGTTTCACACAATTGTGGCTGAAAAGGATGCATGATATGATTTCAGTCTTCTTAAATTTATTAAAATTTGTTTTGTGACCTAACATGTGATCCACCCTGAAGAATGTTCCATGTGTGCTGGAGAAAAATGTGTTTTCTGCTGTTGTTGAATGGAATGTTCCGCAAATATCTGTTATGTCCATCTGGTCTAATATGTAGTTTAAGGCCAATGTTCCCTTGTTGATTTTCTGCCTGGATGGTCTCGCCCTTGTTTTAAGTGAGGTATTGAAGTCTCCTCCTATTGTTGAACTGCTGTCTATTTCTCCTTTCAGATCTGTTAATATTTGCTTGATATGTTTAGGTGCTCCTACGTTGGGTGCATATTTACAAATGTTGTATCTTCTTGATGAATTGATCCCTTTGTCATTATATAATGCCCCTCTTTGTCTCTTGTTACAGTCTGGCTTAAAGTCTACTTTAACTGATATAAATATAGCTACCCCAGATTTCTTTGGGTTTCCATTTGCATGGAATATCTTTTTCCATCCCTTCATTTTCAGTATAGGTGTCCTTAATGCTGAAGTGAGTCTCTTGTAGGCAGCATATAGTTGGGTCTTTAAAAAAAAAATCTATTAAGCCACCCCGTGTCTTTTGATTGGCCATTTGGCCAATTAGACATGAGATCAAGCAATTGTTTTTCATGCTGCAGTGGGATTTGGGGTAGAAAACAGTTTGACAAATACCCTATACTTTAAAGTTTAACATTTCCTGTACAAAGGAAATAAATGATAATATGTTATTATGAACTTGCCTGCTTAGATAAATAAAGCCACACAACGGGAATCTTAAAAGACTTTGTTGGAACCTTGAATTATCAGTCGTCTCTTTTCTTTTGTTTCCCTGGTAATGTTTGGCACATGCCCCTCCTCTCTGTCTTAGTCCCTAGAGTTAGATGGGAGAATTTTATAGCCTTAAATTGGGCATGAACCTTTATTCACTTATTTTGGAATTCTTTTATTTTTCTATAGCCCTATAATTTGTAGTCCATGGATTTGGGGAGAAAGTTAGACCAAGCTTTAGCACTGTCATGAAGAGCAGAGTTGGGGTGGGTGAGAAGGTTGGTAAGACTTTGAATTTTGTTGTTCCCTAAGGCAGTGGAGCTGGTCCTTACGAGTATAATGTGAAAGGCCATGGAAGAGTTCTTTTTTACTAATGGATGTGATCCTTTAAATTTCATCCCAGGACAGATTCCTCTTAGAAAAGTGTCCCCTTTAAAATAGACAGTTCAGTGAGGAACAAAGCATGAAGATTAAAAGTGTAGATGAGACTGGAAAGGAAATTTGCCATCTCATATTATAGGGCTCCTCAAAACTTGGGTCCTCTTAGGTCTTTTCAGGATGTCCATGTTGACATCTGCATTAAGGTGTGAAAACAAATCATCTTAATTTGAATAAAGGCAGTCTCACCAAATGACACCAGTAGTCACATATTCTTTATCATTATATACTTGCATCTAAACACACACACACACACACACACACACACACACACACACACACATGCATGCATGCTAAATTCATATAAGAATGTCCTTGAAGCAGTCAAGTTTACTAATTTCATTGGATCTTGACCCTTGAGTACATGTCTTTTTAATATTTTGTATGATGAAATGGAAAATACACCTAAAGCACATCTGAGGGTACTGAAGAATGATGATTGTCTCAAGGAAGAATGCTTTTGTGATTGAATTGTGAACAGAACTAGCTGCTTTTTCATTGGAACTGAATTTTTCTTGAAAGAAGAACCAACAGACAAACTATTGTTATTTAGACTTTAGTGTCTGGCAAACATTTTCTCAAAAAAAAAAAATAGGGAATGAAGTAAACCTACCTCTTCAAGGAAAACAACTAACAGTATTTGTTGCCAATGATAAAATTTAAGCTTTCAAATGAAAATTAGAATTTTGGGAAACTCATATTTTTCATTATGAGGTTGGTAGCAGTTCCAATATTTAACAATTTTACTCATGAGATTTGTGGTGATATTAACAAATATGGCCTTTTGATATTATATGATGAAAAGTGTCACAATGTGGAAGATCTGAATAATTCAGTGATCCCATATTTTTTAGATGACCAATGCATGATGTTCCAAAATCATGAAGGGTAAAAGGATACATTCAAAGTACAGTATAGAAAGCTGGATTTTGATGTAACAGAGTTCTAAAAAGTGTATTGATATGGTATCAGATTCCAGGCTGTAACAAACCTTTAAGGAATGACATTTGTTGAGTGAACAACAAATATCCACAAAGAAGAGTATCCACAATTTTCACAACAGATTGGATGCAGAAGCAAATAGGAGACTGCACCTCTCTTCTGCTAAGCCAAATATTAAAGAGACTTGCAAAAATGCAAAGTAATGCCACTCTTCTTGCTAAATTGGTTTTGTTTCAGGACATATGGTTTTTGTAATAAAAACATGCTATTTATATGTAATAGATTTACTGCTGTGATCTTAATAAATAAAATAATACATTTAAATTTTCACAGCTTTATTTTTTAAAGTGGTAATCATCAATAGCTATAAGCCACATAAATATGGGCGGTACAGTCATTTTTTGAGTGTGAAGGGCTCCTGAGACCAAAAAGTTTGAGAACTGTTGTTGTAGACCAAACCCCTGACTTTACAAATGGGTACCTGAGGCCATGACAGCTGATGTGATTCATCCACTGAGAGGCAACTGTAACTAGATCATATCTCTACAGACCACCATTCTCATGTTTTCACTGTTGGCATATTTTTCCCTGTACTACACTATACTTCATGACTACCTTCATACAAATAAGCCAATTAGTTACTCTCCAGTAAGAAAGCCAGATGGGAGTAGGTTCTGATGGAGGTCACCTAGGTAGGTCTTTCTCACAGCCTGGGAACGGGAGGCTGGGTGGAGGCCAGCAGGCCTCTTTCAGGCACCAGGTGCCTCTGTGTGGAGAGATGTGTGCTAAGGGGAGGGGAGGCTGGTGCAAGTGGAGAAAGAACATTCCCTACTTCAGATTTTATGCTTCTCGTTCTTAAATACATTGAGCTTTTCTTTATCCCTTGACTTTTCCTCCAGGGAGTTTGCCCGTTGGAAAGTAAACAACTTGGCTCTGGAAAGGAAGGACTTCTTCAGTTTGCCATTGCCTCTTGCCCCAGAGTTTATCCGGAACATTCGCCTCCTCGGAAGGAGACCCAACCTACAACAGGTTACCGAAAACCTGATTAAAAAGTACGGCACTCATTTCTTACTTTCTGCCACCCTTGGAGGTAAGCAACATCGTGATCCTACGCTAACTGGCTGTCAGATCATTGAATATAGCTTACAGACCCTTTGAGTATAGCTTGAGTCTTCCTGGGTCTTTGTTCTTCCTGGCCTGTTATTGCCTGAGAAATATTTTCTTTCTGGTGCCTTTGAGAACAGTATAATCTCTTGACATCCAATCACAACATCCAGAACATTGCTATTTGCTTATAAGCATCCTCCTTGAGGAGGGGTGCCAGGTAAGGAGGTGGGGGGACTGACAGGCTCCTACTAAGCACTTGCCAGCAGGGGGCGCTCCCAGTTTTCTTTTGACAGACTTGTAGCCAGAGACTTTTTCCACATCCTAATATTTGCTGTGGCTATAGTTGTCAGACCCATAGGCAAAGAAGTAAATGTCCATTGAGTCCCTGACCCCTGCTGACCTCTCTAAAGATTGGTAACTGGCCAAACAGATTCCAGTGGTTCTGGGCTGGATGGGGACGAGGTTGGGAGTGGGGATGGTACAACCTATGGCCAAATCAAAACCTCTGAGGAGGCAGAGTTCTCTCTGCCCCGGGAAGAAGAAAGCAGGATTTATTATAACATTTAGCTCACTGTCTGATGGACAAAAAGAATCTCTCCAACCTCCAGCTGGTTCAGGCCAGCTGCCGGCATGTGGTAGGTGTTGAGTGTTTGATGGGGAGGAGGGAGGTTGAACTTGAAGGCTTTTGCCCTTTCTGAGGGAGCAGAAATATCCATGGTGACTTCTCATAAACAACTTGAGAGAGAAAATTTTATCTCCCCCATGGAGGTAGATTGCCTGAGACTGAGATCAATAAAGGATGTTAAATGGATAAGCTGGAGGGGAGGGGATGAGCTATGGGATAGTTAAAGAATGAAGGAAAGGGAGGAGGGCCTCTCAGGCAGTGACGCCCGTTACCTTGTGCACTGTCTGATGAGACTGTTCTAGAGACAGTGATGGGGAAGAGGTCGTCAGCAGGGGCAACAGACTCCTGCTGAGTGCCGACTATTCTGGCCAAGGGTTTCATGTTCGAATTGGTAGGGGATTAGGGAGCAGAAGGCCTCACCAATGAACCCATGTTGTTTGCGATAGGAGAAGAGTCCCTGACCATTTTTGTGGACAAGCGAAAACTGAGCCGCAAGACAGAGACAGCAGGAAGTGCTCCTATAGTTGGGGCTAGTGGAAACAGCTCTGCCGTGTCCCTGGAGACCCTGCACCAGCTGGCAGCCTCCTACTTCATCGACAGAGAGAGCACACTGAGGCGGCTGCACCATATCCAGATAGCCACCGGGGCCATCAAGGTAACAGCCTGCGAAGTCCTGGGAGAGGGAGGGGAGACAGGTAGGGAGAAACCAAAGGGGAAGCTAGCGTCTTAGCCAGCTCCAAGTCAGCCAGGCCTGACTGATGGACGTGGAAAAGAAGCTTTCCGACACAGGTACAACCAGCCCTAAAATGTGGCCCAGGTCTTCACTGTATAGCAAATAGACATGTAGGCTTCTACTCTGAGGCAGTCTCTAGCCAATGGACTGTTGTGAAGGGTAGACAAGGTCCTTATTCTGCGGAGGTTACATTCCGGTGAGGGATGAGGATATTAAACAAGTATAAAAGCAAAGTAATTTTAGATAAAGATACAAAGAAAAGACAGAGTCATAAGGTACAGATTTCCTGGGGTGAGAGAAGGGAGCAGCTAATATTAGCCAGGTTGGTCCAGGGAGGTCACTTTGGGTTAGACTTTGAGGCTGACATCTGAATGATCTGAAGGAAGAGTATTCAGACAGCAAGAATAGTAAGTGCTAAGGCCCTGGGGCAGGAACCAGATTGGTGCCTTAGAACACAGAAAAGAGTGCTGTGACTGCAGTAAGGTGAACAGGAAGACACTGGTACTAGATGGGGTTCAGAAGTAGACTGGAACCGGATTATATGGCCATGATATGGAATTTTAATATGTCAAAGTGCAGTGAAAAACAACCAGAGAGTTCTAAGCAGAGGAGTGATATGATCCCATGCATGTTGGAAAATGATCAATAGTTACTATAATATTAATAATCATAACCTCCATCCCATCTTCTCTACCTATATCTAGGAGGTTTCTAGGTAAGTTCATATTGTTTTAGGGAAGGGAAGACCAATGACAATACTTGAGAATGCTGGATTATTTTATTCAAAATATAAAGTTAAGGTGTCAAGTGGTGGTCAGTCTTGTATTATATGCTGCTTTTATCACACCCAAAATTTGAAGGAAGTTTTGTTCATTTATTTATTCATTCAGTAGATATTTATTGAACACTTGTTATGTGTCATGCACTGCTCTGGCTACTGAGAATCCCAGAGTGAACAAAACATATAAAGTCCCTGCCCTGATGAAGTTTAAATTCTAGTGATGGAGACATCATGAATTAAATATGTAATGTCAGGTGGGATTAATGAAATGAAGAGACAGAGCCAGGGAAGAGGAAAGAGAGTGATGGACCTGTTTGAAGAAATGCCATTTAAGCAGAGATCTGAATGAAGGGAGGGAGGGGGCCCCATGGGTATCATGAGTGAGAGCAGGTTCAATTGCCCCAAAGTGGGAGTGTACTTGTTATGGTCCAGAAACACTGTGTCATGTAGCTGGAGTGTAGTCAAAAGAGGGGTGAAGTGGGAGATGAGCCTACAGAGAAAATTTTATCTCTCACCCCCCTGGTGGTAGATTGCCTGAGACAGAGATCAATAAAGGATGTTAAGATCATGAGGGCATTACTGATTAGGGAGAGAAGAGAAAGAGGGATCGTGGAGACTGATGCAGTGGTCAAGGGAAGAAACAATGGTGGCCCTGCTCAGACAAAGCTGCTCTATAGAGGTCGTGAGAAGTTGGCAGATACAGGATATAGTTTGATGGTAAAGCCTCCAGGATTAGCTAATAAATTAGAAGAAAGGAATCAAGATTAACTACAAGATTTTTGGCATGAGCAACCAGATGAACAGTGATTCCGTTTACTGAGAATGACAATGCTGGGGGAGGTGCCAATCTGAAAGAAGCACCATCAAGAGCTTGGTTTTAGACACATTGAGTTTGACATTCCTCTTAGACATCCAAGTAGAGATAGCTAACAGGCAGTCGGATAGAAACACTAGGATTTCAAGAGAAAGGTCATGATCGGAGATCTAGGTTTGGCATACAACTATATACACATGTGTAGTTGGTATTTAATACTATGGGAAAGGATGAGATGAGATCACTTGAGGAGTGAATGTAGCCAGTAAAGCAGCTCAAGGGCTGAGTTGTGCAGCATAGCAATATTCAGAAATGGGGAAGAGGAGGAGGATCCAACAGAGGAGGCTGAGACCAGGCAGAAAGGTATGGAGAGAACCAAAGTCCTATCACAAGACTGTGTGAAGCAAGTGTTTCACAAAAGAAGGAGCAGCCAACTGTGTTAGATGCTGTGAAGCAGTCAGAGAATGGACCATCAATCTGGCAACATGGAGGTAACAAGCAGCCTAGATAAGAGTGGTTTCAGTGACATGACAGGTACAAAAGGCTGAGTATAGAAGGTTTAAGAGAGAAAGCAAAGTGAGGAATCAGAGTAGAGACAGTTCTTTAAGGGTTTTGCTGTAAAGGCAAACAGAAAAAAATGGGTGATAGCTGGAGAGTAGTGGAAGGTCAAGAGAGGTGGAGATTTTGTTTTTAAGATGGGAGATATTTGAATCTTGTCGTGTTGATTGAAATGATTCAGGAGAGAGGGAGAAAATGATGATGCAGGAAGGACAGAAGGCAATTGCAAAAGCAAATGGGTAGGCAGGAGAGGCTGATATTCCGTGGAGGGCTAGGTCTTACCTAGGAGCATAAACGTTTCATCCTTCGTAGCAGGAAGCATTCAGGTGCACAGGACACCACACAGTAGGATGTAGATGTGGTGGGAAGATGCGGATGTCCTTGTCTGGTGGATCCAATGCCTTGATGACACAAGACTTGGAGTCCTTGGCTAAAAGGAAGGAGAAGGAATTGTTGAGAAAAGAAGGTAGGAAATGGTTTCAGAAGAGTAGGAGTTAGGTGTTTCAACTACTAGATAAATTATTGTGGATTATTGGGCAGCCCTGAGGGCCCATTTGAGATCCATGGTCATAATTATAACATGGGACCAGTCAGCATAGCTGAGTTTTACCAGCTACATTTGGCACTTCAAGTACAGGCAGGCATGGAGTAGGTGGAGAGTTGGATTGAACAAAGTGTGTGTGTGTGAGATGAAAGAAAAAAGAAGCAGGGAAATTGAGAGTATACACAAAGCAGTGATTATAGTGATGAACCAAGGGATTTGAGACCATTAAGGGATGGTAGAAGGTGAAAGTTGGAAAGTTGGTAGGTCAAAAGATTGGAAGTAGGTTTGATGACTTGTTAGAGGGAAGAGACCAGAGGAAGTGCAAGTGTGTGATGTTTAATACTGAGATTAGAGTGAGAGTGCTATTAGAAAACAAGTGGCTCTGGACATGACCATGAGTGTGGATGGCTAAGATGGGGCTGGAGGCCAAGACTAGGAGGAGAGGTGAGAAGCCTGGAGAACTGAAAACTAAAGGGTTTTCTGTGAATGATGAGGTCAACAGGAACGATACAAAGGCAGTGGTAAGCAAGCTTAATACTGGAAATCCCGAACACATCAAGGGGACTAATAAGAAAAATAGACAACAACAAGGAGGGATCATGGGTGATAGAGTCCTGATGGTTCTGGCTTCAAAGGAGCCAGAGATGGCTCGAGAGGAAGGAGGAACAGTGTCCAGGATAGCACAGTGGCTGACCCCCTCACTGCCTTGCCCAGCAGTGTGAGGTCTGCAAAAGCAGCACCCACCACTAGAGAAGACTGCAAGGGAACCCCTGTCTGCAGCATCTGCTGGGCTGTGGCTAACACAAAAAGATGAAGCGGACTCTTGAGAAGAGACCAAGGCTATAGAGGATGTGGCTGAAGACCGATCATGAGACTGAGAGAGCAAGATGGACGTTGCCTGAAGAGAAGAGGTCCGATCAGGGCATGTACTGTGTCTGGAGTGAGAGTCTGAGACAGGACAGTGGCTGAAGTTAACAAGGGTTTAGGGTACACTTGGGCGGCTGGTCTCTTAGGCAGCTTAAAATGATGAAAGAAGACTATTAGTAGCATAGACTGGGTTTGACCAAGAAGATAGAACTCTGGGGAAGCCCCTTTTCCCCTTCAGTCCTGTCTTGAGTGGGATCTGTGGAAGGTGGAGAAGAGTTGATCTTGTCTAGAAATGAAAGGTAGGTCTGGATCAACGACTCAAAGGTCCCATTAATGTTTCTTCTTATCCTTTGACCTGACCAACTTTTCACTTTCCCTATCATGGCCTCATTTGCCTGTTTGCCTCAGACTCCACGGTCCGTCGTTCTCATCGCTGCATTGGATGTATTTACAATACACCCTTTGCTGCCTCCTCATGCATCTGTCATCCCCTTAATTCAGGAGCTGATCAACGCCTGCCTGATTTTCTTGCATATCTTTCTAACTAGTCTTCCTGTCTCCATTCTCAGCTCTTCTCCCTGATTTACCCTCTCTGCTGCTTGCACAAATGCAAATCATCATGTACCATCTCCCTGCTTAAACCACCACACCCCAGCCCTGGGGACGGTGTGACGCAATGGAAAGAACATCGGATCGCACCCAAGAGTCTTTGCTCATGGCGGGCTAGGAGCAAGTTGCCAAACTACTCTGAGCCTTGGTTTTCTCACCCTTAAAACTGTTGAATAATTAGAATATTTTTTACCTCGATGGATTTCTGTGAGCCTCAAATAAGAAAATATATAGAATGTGTGAGCCACAGCACAATTGGAGCTTGAAAAATAACAATTCCTCTTCATAACAAAACCATAAGCCATTGAAGATCTATCTGTACTGTTCTTTTGTCTCTTTTCAACCCATTTCCCGCCTCAACCCTTCACTTACCATTTCTATCATGTAACCCCGTCCTATTTAACGAGTTGTCTTTTATTCAAATATACTCACATCCCTGGCACCTGCTGTTGGTTTTGCTTGTCTGTTTACCTAAGTGTCTTTCCCTCACCCTTTGCTCAAGCCAAAAAGATTACTTCTTTGTGAAGCCTTTTCTGACTCCCCAAGTAGTTAACTGCTTTTCTTCAGTGTCTTAAGCACGTGCCTCTTTTATAGGGCTCATCATTTGAACTATAATTGCTAGCTAACATGGTGACCTCTAAGACTATGAGGTCCTTGTGGGAGGGACTGGGTCTTATTCATCTTTGGTTCCCAGTGAGAGTACAGAGCTTGCCACAGTATGGGTAATGAGTAAACGTTTGTTGACTGAG